GCTGCGCCCGGGGGGGGGGGGGCCTTGGCAGCGGCGGGTAGGAGCGGGGGGGGGGGCTGCGGGGCCGGCCGCGCCAGGGAGAGCCGCTCCGGCCGGGCTCAATGCGGGTTTTCTCTGGAGGGCTGCTACACCCAGGCTGCAGCGCAGGGCAACTCCGGCAACGTTCCGGCTTGCCTTTTTTTTTTTTTTAAGTTATTTCATACAGTCGCTTTTCCTTTTAACCTGAAGTGGGTTGCTTTCTATCCTAATATGAAAAGACAATTACTTTTTTTTTTTCTTACTTAAGAGCAGTAAAACCAGATCCACAGCTAATCAGCCCTCCTATGCAGGGCAGCACAGACCTTCTACCTACATCTTTAACAGGCATTTCAGAGAGTATGACTAGATTTGGAAGTAGCAATACCTCTGAAATATTTCTTGCTAAGGAAAGTGAGTGTGGGCCATCACAGGAGGAAGACAGAGCCTTATATCTTTAGGTTGATTCCTGGTTGGGGGGGGGCATCTCTTGAAGGATGGCATAACCCAACTGCTGTACCTCAGCCCATAGTAACAGTGTTTTAAGAATGTGTCTCTAAGTACCCTAGCGATTCTTGGACCGCTGTTGCTATTGTAAGGGGGAAAAATCCAGATATAACAGGAGAGGGTTGGTGAGAGAGTATGTGATCTCCTCCACTGGGAACCAAAGCTGGATTGTTCGTGCAGTACAGCTCCTGGTGACTCAAATGTGCTGGGTTTGTCTGCTCTCTGATGCGTGGGTCTGCCTCTCTGTAGCTGTCCCAATAACATTGTGTCTGGCGCTGCTGAACTGTTATGTCTCTGAACACTCTGTCTCTGGCCCACAAGGTAAAAGCAGTGATTACAGTACAATACGCCACAGTTGTTCTCAACTTCAAAGTCAAAAAGCTTGGTAGCAGCAGGCTGCCTTAGGAAAAAAAAAATAGGGAAATGGTTCTTTCTAGCAAGGGAGATGTACTAACTGACTTTTCCTGTCTCTCAGCTTTGATTTCCCCCTTCCAGTGATTGCTGGCTGCTAAAAACCTCTGTGCAGTGCTGCCCATTGAAGGGAATCCAGCAGATCAGTACAAAGTTTGTAGGAAAAGGCTGCAAGAAATATCCTGGGAAAAAAAAAAAGCTTGCTCAAGGAGAAGCAACAGGAAAAAAGGACCTGGGGCTTCTGCGCACAGACCCTCAAGTTCACATTTGATGCAGCTGCAAGGCAGGGGTGCAATGGGGTTGTCCCCCATCTGGCTAGTGACAGTGCCCTGCGCCGGGCTATGCCAAGTGCCACAGCATACTCTGGGAACGCAATGGTGGGGCTGGTGTGGTTTGCTCAGCTAAAAGCTTTCCTGCTGCTAAAATCCAGCCCGGGGGCTGCTGTGCTGGTGTGTTGGCTGTGGGTGAAAATAAAATGCTCCTAGAGGGAAAGCGAAGCAGGCACCTTTCGTGCTGGGAAAGCGGCAAATCCATCCGATTTGCCTTCACACCAACTGAGGGTTGTTGTCATAACGCACCCCTTTGGCAGCACACCAGCCTGAAGATAACAGAGGGTATTTGCCTTCCGAGGCCCCCCCCCAGCTCCTCCCTCTGCTGCTTTTGTTGAGTCTAAGATGGGGGAAAAAGGTTCTGTGGTCCCCCTCATCCCTCTCAATGTACCAGCACAGTCGGGCTGTGGAAGGAAGGGATCCTGTTTGTAGCTTGCCGCAACTTGTTGCGTCATGTGGTGCCCTGGGGAAGCTGGCATTTGAAGCGGCCAGCCTTCACCAAAGAGCTGGGGGGAGCGTTTGGCTGGTATTTCTTAAAGACAAATTGATAAGAACTCAAATTCAAAGGTTGACTGCTGTTCCCTAGTGAGCAAAAGAGGCTTGAGCAACTTTCAGTACTCAAATAGGAGGTAGAAACTTGAGCGTCCCTCCTGTGTTTGGTTCTTAAAAGAAATCTGGACTGTGTTGGGAGCAAAACTGGGGACCTGCAGAGGTGCTGGGCGGACTGTGATGGTGCAGCCTCTATGAGGGCAGTGCCAGCTGCATGGTGGCTGTTTTGTGTTGGCTCAGCTGGGACGGGCTCTTCACAAAAGCTTGCTGGGAGGCAGCATTTCTCCCACTGTCCCCCAGAATCCAAGCGCTGTGCAGCCCAGGCAAAGCTTGCTGCAGTCTCCTGATGTGGAGGAGATGACACGGCATTAAGACCCCCTCCTGTGCCAAAACCGGAGAGGACTGCAACTGCCTCATTTCCTCAGAGGGATTCCCAAGGCTGGTTGTAGTGTTTTCTTTCATCCCATATGCTTTCAAGTGCTCTGCTAAAGCTCTTGTTTCCTTCTTACACCCATGGTCTTTGTGCTAACAGCTTTTTCCCTCCCTCCCGCAAGAGATTCCTGACTACCAAGGACTGCAGCATGCAAGGCAGGCAGCCAGGCTGCGGGCTGGAGGAAAGTTCAGCAAACTGACTACTGGGGTGAGCTGGAAAGTGTTGGGATACCTGCTTAAGCTCTTCACGTGTCCTCGCTTCAGTTTAGCTCCTGGAACCCTGCAGCTCTGCTGGCAGTGCTGGAGTGGCTTGCTCCCAGCAGCAGTGGAAGCATCTGGTGCTGGGGTGGTTGCAGGGGTGGGGAGAGTGCTTGGAACGCAGGCTGAAGCATTGATTGCTTGTCCCCACGTGCTGCAAAGTGAGGTGCTGATTGCTACCTTCCAACAGGAGGTTGTAAGAAAAGACAGATTTACAAAGGGCTGAATGCTTTCCTTGGCTGCCTGGCTCTCAAACTAGTGAGGGCTGAATATGGGTGTCACCATGGTCCAGTGGCTGCACTGTTTGGATCTTTAGTTAGCACATAAAGTTGGAAATGTCTGTTTGAACATGCAGCCTGGGAGTTTCCAGACTGCAGAGCACCAAAATTGCAGCGTGTGTTCAGCCAGGTGTATTCTTCATTGTTAATCCATTAGGCACTTCTGCTTTAAACACCAAAAACACTGTCTGAGGCTGAGCTGGCTGCCTAGGAGAGTGAGCTAGCCAGAAGGCTGGTATCACCGAGCCAGGGTGGGACAGCCAGCATGTTGGTCCCCAGGGAAGCAGTGGCCCCAGCTGCAGTGCATCTCCACATGAGGCAGCTCCCTCTCCACGTGGGGCTTCTTGCTGACAGAGCTCAGACCCCTACACTAGCAAGGGCTGAGGTTCGCCACGGCAACCTGGGGGTTGCTGCCACTGTGTCACCACCTGCATGCCGGGCAAAGAAGCCCGGGGACGCCTGGCAGCGACGCAGTGGGGAGCCACGGGAGGGGGACTAGCAGGGATTGCAGCAGTCCTGTGTCACCTGTTTCCTGGTGATGTTCTGTGGCTGGCAGGAGCCCTGAATCACAAGGTCTGACTTGTTAAACGCTGGTGTCGATGCACGCTAGAGACTCGTCAAACTTTCTAGCAGAACATCATTCTGTGCCAGCCTCTGATCAGACTGATACACAAGATGTTTTGACTGGTCAGCCTTTTCCTGTTACTGACTGAATATGTGCGAGTTTGTTATGGAGCCTGCTTACTGTAGTCCCGTGGGCTCAGCCAGCTCCAAGCTATGGAGTTTGCAGCAGGGGCTCGAGAAAAATACCCTGCATCCAAACCCAGTGGATTGGGAGGGATTGTGTTAGGGGGGTTGTTTTCCTCCTCACGCGTAATCTGTGTTCAGATCCTCTGTGTTTGTGTCTGCCTGTTTATGCTCCAGCCCAGGGCTGCTGATCACATGCACAGTGTTCCAGAGTGAGTGAACAGAAACCTGGCTATCCCAGTGCGGGGCTGGTTGGCCTGTGGCTTGCAAAGGGAAAGGCGGGAACCGTGAACCTGCCTGGGAAAGCTCTGGGTGGAGGCCCAGGCTTTTCGTACAAGAATAGCAAGTTTCCAGTCCCAGTGCTGCCATATGGATGTGCTCCATTAGGACTGGAAAGGATTGCGTGGGTCATGAACTAGCTCTCTGCAGTTGCAGGGAGACATTTAATAGATGCTCTGGGACCCTTCCCAATTTAGTATCTGTTCTGTGTGTCACCCCAGTCCACCAAGCACTTCCTAATACCTAATAATTCCTAATTAACATAACCTTACAAGAAGAGACCAAAATCCACTAGTGTGCTGCTGGAGAGAAGGACAGCATTGCTATGGCTCCTGATTTCAAGGACCCAGTTGAGTCCCTGTGATGCCTGGAAAGGGAACTGTGCTATAGGGGACATTGAAGAAATGCAGCAAGTAACCAACCTCAGTGGTCCCTGATCTGATCTTAGGGAAAATCATTTCAGATCCCAA